TTATTATTATTATTATTATTATTATTATTATTAACCAGTAAGGGGATCACATTGCAAATGAGAAAGCTTGTTTTGAAAAGAACACTAAGGGTGTGGCTCATGATAAGGAGATCGTGAGTGTGACTTATGGACTCAGTCAACCGTCTCAGCAGAAGCCAGGAATAGAGACGGGATTACACCAGCAGAGACTCTGCCAGTTTGGACTAAAGGGGATGGAGAAAGTGGTATGGGATGAAGGAAGGCTGTTGGGCTTCTTGGATTCTGCAGGACTGAGCCTCAGAGCTGTACGGCTGTGAGCGTGCACTATTCCCCAAGAAAAGGGAAGAATGAAATGAAGGTGATTCGATTCAGAGATCATCAGGACTGCCACTTCCTGCACAGGCTCAGGGGTGTGGGGCTGGCACCCTATCCAGCCAAGAGGGTCAGGCCACCCCACAGAGCTATGGTGTGACCTTGAGGCCAGAGCATTGCACCAAAGCGGATTATTCTCCAGCCTTAAGAGCTAATAGAATTTGCCTTTGCTAGGTTTTGGACTTGCTTGGGACTTGTCACCCCTTCCTTCATTCTGATTTCTCCCTTTTGGAATGGGAATGTCTGTCCTCTGCCTGTCCCACCAGTGATTTTAGAAGCACATAACTTGTCTGAGGGGGACAACTGAGCTGGCCCAGTTCATCTTGCCGACCTTGTAAGATGGTTAAGCAAGTACTGAGTGCATTTGAGGAAGTCAGTATCTGTAGGCATTTTCTAAAAAAGAATGTTAGAATAAGATGGACAGATTAGATACAAAAGTAGTTAATGTCCTACAGGGAAATAAAATTATAGCCTTTAGTGTGATCTTTTCTACCCAAGCAAAAATCTAGGGGTTAGCATATAACTTAATAGCATCTCGGTGCTAATTAAAAGGTAAATAGCAAAGTCAAACGAAGATACGTTCACTTAGAAAATTATATGCTCTTGAGTGGGCCTGTTAAACAATGCCCCAGTATGATATTGAAAGGACAGACCACCTCCCTCCTCCCTTTTTGTCTTATTTCCAGGTTTTAAATATTTTCCTTACTCTTTTCATAAAGTTTGTTCCAGGCTGAGTAACTCTTCAGGCTACTAGTGACTCAGTGACCTTTGTGGGGTCATAGTCTGACCATGTGGCTTTCCCCCCCTTCATTAGTTTCTTATGGCTGCCATAACAAATTACCACAACTTGAGTGGCTTAAATAAAAGAAACTTATTGTCTCGCAGTTCTGGAAGCTAGAAACCCAGCACCAAGGTGTCAGCAGGGCCGTGCTCTCTCTGGAGATGCTGGGGAAGGTTCCGGCCAGGCCTCCTTTCTAGTTTCTGGTGGTTCCTTGGCTTGTGGCAGCGTAACTCCAGTCTTCACATGGTATTCTCCGTATGTGTGTCTGTGTCCAAATTTCCCCTTTTCATAAAGATACTAGTCATATGGGATTGGGGGCCCACCCTACTCCAATATGACCTCATCTAAATTTAATTATATCTGCAATGACCCAGTTTCCAAATAAGGTCACGTTCTGAGGTACTGGCATTAGGATTTCAACTTGTGAATTTGGGGTACACAATTCAACCCATAATACCCCCAAGGGGGAAGAGTGTGACTTGGAAATCTGACTTTCCTGGCCTCGGCTGAAAGGTGCCTCACATCACTTCCTCCCACATCCCACTGACCAGAGCTGGTCACATGGCCCTGCCTGGCTGCAGAGGGGTGGAAGTTACAGTTTCCTGTGTGCCGAGGAAGCCTGCTCTCTGCCATAAGAACTTAGTTCACTGCTGACAAGAAAATAAGAAAATGGTATGTGGGATGTGAATTGACCTGCCTGAGGCCATGCCGCAAGTTACTGGCAACGACACGATGAGGAAAGATGCCAGTATTTTGACTTCCAGTTTCTTCTCCGGTGTTTCATTTACTCACTCATCAAACATATGATAGGTTGTCCTTCACAAAGTCCTCATATTTTGGAAAGTTTTATTTCCCTTGAAGAATAAATTTGGTCTAGTGGTAGGAATGGTTTTGTAGAGCAACTTGTCGTGGAGCCCAGGGAGGCCTAAAGACAGCTTGGGCTGGAAAGAGGGACTGGTTTCACATCTGCATCAAAACCCTTGGAGAGATTCTGCTTCGATGCTGTTTAAAAGTTTGCTCTGATATAGTTGTGATATCCCCAGGTCTCAGAGAAGGCCCTGGGTAGGAGAAAGCATAGTATAACTA